CAGCACGTTGCGGGTCTCAACCCCAAGGGGCACCGCATGCCCTTGGCGAGCTGCCCGCAGTCCGGCGTTGATGCCGGTATTGGACGCAGCATTGTTGACGGCACGCTATTGGAGGGGTTTACCGAGTTAGGGGCAGGGAGGCGTGGTGAAATGGCAGGAAGAGCTGGATATGGCAGTGCTGGAGAGGTCAGAACGGAGCTGGAGGGCGTGATAGGGTGGAGTGGGTTCGGGTATTTCTAACGTGTAAAACAAGTTGCGAGGTTAGACTGAATTGAATTATTTCTCAGCTGTTTTGAAGCCTATGCTCCGTGACGCCCTCACCTCTGGTAAATGCCAATAACTAGGTACGATGCAGTGGTCATGCAGTACACGCTATCAAATCTACGGAACAGCGGGCTACTTATTACCTATTCAAACTGATGCGAGAACCCTCCTCACTTCCAGATCCTATTGTGCCTCGACGAAGCTGGCGTGAATATCAATTCCCAGCACAAAAAAAAACGCCTATGAGACGAGGGTCCCCAATGAGGTGACCACCAGACGTCGACAGTCTTATCCTCCGCCCCACGCGGCATCCCAGACAAGGCCTGTCATGTTTGGTGGCGAAGCATCGGAACAATTATGCTTGAAATAGACCCCTGTGGTTGGCTGCGGCGCCTGGATATATGCCGCGGCCGCGGCTGGGCGGCAGTCATGGTGGTAATGGGGGGTAGACAATATCAGATCCATGGAAACGAGCAGGTCCAGCTGCAATTTAGGCGTGGCTGGCGAGAGGCAGACACCTGGTGCTGTTGCACGAAGGGCAGGGATGGGATATTGAAAGTTGGGATTTCTCCTGGAGCCTGCGTCGAGCTGGTTGAGGGAGCTGAGAAGGGAGCGATTCTGGAGATATCGCTCTGCTTGTAGGTGAGGTAGGTTGGAATTACTCAGCTGAAACAGCGCCGATGATGTGGGGTGGGAGTTCCCGCCGGTGGGCAGATTAGGAAGTTGCGATGGGCTGTCTGCTTGGGTTGATCAGATGGTTGGGTCCCGTCGGCCTCTCGCTCCTACCTATCATATTCTCTTCTCTGGAATATCCCGCCCTCCCCTACCAAAGGCTCATCAGATGAAGAAGGACTTTTGCGAACCAACGCCGCCCCCATGCAACCTCGGCATAGAACTTCCCAACCACCTTGGTATTTTCCTCGTACCAGGCATTCGCTATCGCCAACACACCGAGCACGAATGTGGCTCGAGGGTGGATAGCTCGGATGCCGTCAAGATGTCAACTCAGGCGGTTGCTCCTGTTCCCGTCCTGCGGTGATCCTCTGATGCAGTTTGTCGCCTTGCTGCCGTGGATGGTATCACGACTCGGGAGACCGAAGACAGAACGAGCCAATTGGAATGGCGCCTGCCTGGTTCTGAAGGGCAGGGTACGCTCTCACTCGTCGACAAACAATGGCCCCCGAACGCGGGGTTTTCCTTACCAAACGCTCACATCATAATGGCTCGTAGGTGAATGGGGTTTGGGTCACCCAGGCAGGTTGGCAGGTTGGCGAGAGCAATCGTCAGCAATTCCATCGAGTTGGTGGCATTGGGGTCCGGGGCGCACTAAAGATCGCTTCGCTTGCGGGCGCATCGAACCGGAAAGCGAGGCACAAAATAGCATCTTTGGCCAATAGCCGACGCAATTGCGGCAAAATAGGCGCAATCCGTCCCTCTGATCCCGAGGTTTCTCGGTGGGTTGTGCAACGGTACCGCGCCGCTCCTCGCCCCCCAAACACCCCCCCCCCCCCCCCCAAAGCGACCTGACCACTGTATGCCAGCTGCACATCATGCAGAGGGTGCGGCCACGCCACACTCGGCGAAAATGGCCCTCTCGCTATACTTGGGGCCAGGCGCTCTCACCCACTCGCCTGATGATCTGGCTCGCTGCTAGCAGTTCAGGATGGGCGAAGTCGCCGAGGAGGGAGTGGGGGGAGTGCTCTGCAGAGTTCTTCCCGAGAGCGGCGTCGCGTTCCGCTTCCGCTCGCCGATGCCCATAGTATGGGTTAATACCTGCTCACGCCCTCTAGGGGCGGCTCTGGGTGTTTTCCCAGTTACGCTTCTCTCGCCACCAGTGATGTACCGCTCGGCATAGCATGCAGCCGATCTGGATTTGTCGATACATGTAATTCGTCTTGTCGAGCCCCGGTTCTGCTTGGAACTGAGACGGCAGCCATGTTATCCAGGCCAAGCTTCAGCATCAGGAGGCTCATCTCCCAAAGGAAACCCGATCAGCCGGAAGACGACGGTGCTCAAGACGGCACCAGGAACTCGACCGATGGGATCAAGAACAAAACATGGCCGAAGGGAAACCGCAAAGGGCCGATCCCTACAATCGATATCAGGAGGTCTGAGGATATCCACCGAATCGTGGTATTGCCGCCGTTGCCTGACACGCCCAAGTCGTGGACGAGCTCGATCCACAGCGTGGACGACGACAAGAGCTTCTCCAGCCCCAGAAGCTCGCCAACTCCTCCCACAGAAAAAAGGTTCCCCAAGAGCCCAAACCGAACACCACAGAGGAGTCCCCAGCGAAGCCCGCTCCTCACCCCCAAGCAGTGTGAGTTTCCTCAACGTATCCGCAGTCGGAGCTTGGGTCCTTCCAGTCCAGGCCCCTTGCTTCCCTACTCGCCGCCATCCTCACCAAAGTCTCAACCACGCAATGAGGAAGATTCCCCTATATGCCCCGTGGACATCGCAGACGCATATTTCTCGACACCGCAGATAAAGGAGAAGCTATGGGCCGGTGAGTCTTTGTCCCCAGGGAGGGTTGGTCGCTCGAGATCAAGGGGCTACTCAGACGACATCCAACAACTCATCCGGGAGACGGATGAGGCGTTCAAGTTACGTCACTCGTTTTCAGGGCCAAGACTCCCTTCACCCAGGACACCTAGGGGACCGATGACCGCTGGTGGACCGGCGTTGGCAAAGCCGTCGCCCCTGACACGGAGGCCGTCACAAAGAAGCACTCGATCGACCACGTGGTCCACAAAGGCACAAACAAAATCCGCGATAAAGATACCACTAATAGCGACTCCTGCCGCGTCTCCCTCGGTCTCTAAGACAAAGAAGAAGCAGGTTAAAAAGTCGCCTGGCCGGAGAACACGGAGCACTTCGGCACCAGCATCGGCTCCACGATGGACCTTGACAGAGAGCGCAAAGGATTTATTTAACATTCGATTATTCAACAAGATCGAGGCGGATGAGATGCTACCGGAAAGCGTTTTACAGGAAATTAGAATGAGCAGGGCGACCCAGGCGAGGCTTGCAAAAGTGGCCGAAACCGAGCATATCAAAACCCAAGAGGTGCAGAGCCAACCCGACGAGCCGTTGATTAATGACTCACCCACATCGAGAGGGACTCACGAGGACGGCGATGACAGAAAATCGACCGAGGCGATGATCAGAGCTCAGTCACCCGCACCAAACCAGGGTGATTCTCTCAAGGGCGAATCGACTGCAGATGAGGGCCACCAAGAGAGCCCGGTGGACATGGTTGCGACATACCTGGACGACGAAGGGGCCTTCCCGCTTGTCATCGTGGCGGAGGACCAACCAACACCCCCAGGGAAGAGCAAACTGACAAAACCACCACACCGCCGCCTCGCGCACAAACACATGCCGCTCCCAACCATCCCTGAAATAATAGCTAACGGCTCTGAAAACGTCTTCCTCTCCCCTACATCACGACGAAAAGGCACTAGTGGTGCCCCTCGCCCCTATACCGACGACTATATCTGCTTACGCTCCACCCCCTTCACGCTCACAGTCCCAACCTTCCAACACGGCCCCATCCGGATCGCCAAAGCCAACCTGCCCATCGGCCAGCTTGCCACCGCAGTCGACGATACCCTTGACTGGACTGCCTTCCAAATGGCCATCATTGGAGGTGCCGGGGATTTCTTCGGCGAAGCCATGGACTATTCCCGCCCATCCGACGCCGAACTCGACGAGCGCGGCGAAATGGCCTCCTGGTTCTCCGAATTCGGCTTCGACAGCCCCGGTGCCCTTGTCCCTGCGGCAGAAGCCCTCCGCTTATACCGGCTCGAAGCCGAGGCTGCAAGACACGCACCGCCATCTCCCCCCTTTGAAACACCAGCCCCCGAGGTTTTGGCTCCGAGCGTAGTAGTCACGGCAGCAGACGCACCCCTCCCACAGCGAACCTCCAGTCGGGCCTGGCGCGTGGATCCCCCGCCGCCACCGTTCCCTGGGACGAACTACATGATTTCCACGACGGGAATTGGCGCAGGGCAAGAAGGCGTAGGAACGTGGTTGCACTACTCGCCTCCGCCGCTGTATCAAAGCAGAGGGAGTTATATTCCCCCCTCGACACTGCCGCGGAGCACCCCTCTACCACAGCCACTTGGGGCTCCAAATCCACCGAAGATCCTAACTTCAGGGAAGCGAAACCGTATCAGCACGGCGAGCGAGAAGAGTCTACCGCAGAGTCCAATGTTGGAGCTGGTTGTGAGTCGGGATGCGTCTGGGAACGAGTATGTGGTGCCCATGGGGTTCAACTTGGGGCATGACCTGGATGACTTTCTGAGATGGGAGGCGGAGCATGTTTACGGTGGGGGGTACTACGATCCGGAGAAGATGGCTTGAGCATTAGAGTGTCTGGGATGGAGAGAAGGTTTGTAATATTATGTTTGTGATTGAGGCATCAAACGGATGCGTTGAGCATGCATTGTAACGTACGGCATGGGTATATAGGTTGGCTTGAGAAAAGGGGGAATGTAGATTGGACAACAGATATGGATGCACGCAGCAGCATATCGTCTCTAGCAGGAAGCAGAGATTACCACAGACCGCGCTCTCATGGCGTGGCTACGTGATACAAAATATCAAATAAGACGAAGTGGATGAGAGAAACAAAAAACAAACTCCACCCTCAAGACCCAAAAATTGGAGTTGAAGTTGTGACCAAGCTAACCTGTATCACAACTCCAAGTCCGAATGGGATGCAACAAATGTCATGATCGAACCCGGGCTCGAACCGGGGACCTTATGCGTGTGAAGCATACGTGATAACCAACTACACCATCCGACCTTGTTACTTGATGGTGGATAGGGGGCTGTGGAACTCCATTTACGGTTTGCCCACTTGGTGTGGATGTGGATGCGGATGTGGATTGGCGAACCGAGACTACTGAGTGAGCTGCGCCAAGGCGTGTATTGAGGGAAAAGAAACATCAGAAACACCAGGTGGAAGGTTGAGATAGAGACATTCATGCTCGAGACTATGGGTTGGGGTATTCCTGCGGTTGGTGTCTAGCCGATGTCGATGTCGATGCCTGATCACACCACATTAGAACCAATCATAAGCATAGAAGCATCAACACAAGAGCATCACATATCCGGTCCCTCACCCCATGTAAAAAATTCCTCTAAGCCCGAGTACCTAAAGTGCTGAAGTGCATCTTCGCCTGCGTCGCACTGCAATATATGGCCTGCCCGTTCCAGCTATGCCTACTTGCATGGAAATCCAAGGCTCAACCAACATTAATAGCCTTTACCTTTGCCGATAATTTTTGCCCGCCGCTAAAAAGCCCGTCGTGAATATCCCCCACTCGCTGTTGCGTTGAGGCACACATATCCCTAAACGAACTGCCATCGAGGAGAAAGAAAAACATGCCAGAACATTGCAAAAACGTCCCTTTCATGCAAGCGGTCCAGCTTGGAACGTGGGCCCAAAAACACAACGCTCGCTTTAATGCTCCAGAAGACGCAAGCTGCCTTGCACGACCACGTTCTCGAGGATCGATCCAGGAGGGATGTCGATGGTCTGGCCCTCGGTTGCAACAATGATAACGGTGCCCTTGAGGGTAACGCCACGACCGAGGTTGACAGCGCCGGTGATTGTCAAGTGGTCAAGCTCGATGATCTTCGGGATCGAGGGGATCCGCTTCTGGAAGTCCGACACCTTCTTAAAGTCATTGCCGAGCTTGATGAGTGGTGCGTCGCCGAACCGCGCATTGCTCATCTGCAATTGGCCGTGCTTAACAGTATAGAGATCCGACTTGACCAGCATCAGGTCTGAGCATGTCTTGACAGGAAGGAAACGGCGGCGAGGCACGTTGACACCATGAGCATTCTTGAAGTGCTTGATGGCGGCACCGACAGCCGTCTCGAGCTGGAGAATGCTGATGTCCGACTCGCCCTTCTTGTCGCCAGGGATAGTCTTGCCGTTGGGGATGATCTCCATCTCGAGCTCGTCGTTCTCCACCACGCGCTTGATGGCCTTGCAGTTCATCCAGATATTGTTGGTGTTGAAGTACTTGAACTTCTTGATCGACTTGAACTCGTTGACGTGTTCCTTGGGGACCTGCGCGATTTCGAGCAGGCGGACGCTGCCTTCGTAGTCGATGATTGTCCCACCCTTGACATCGGCCTTGGTCTTGTTGGTGAGCTCCATGATGTACTCAGCATCACTCTCCACCATGTGCTGGAGGATGCGGAGATCGACAACAGCGCCAAGGTTGTCAGCGTTGGACAAGAAAATGATCTCGATACCGCGAGAAATGAGTTTCTCGAGAATTCCAGAGTTGTACAAGGACTCGAACACGTCACCGTGCCCAGGGGGGTACCAATCCTGGAGTTGCGAGTCATAAGACTTGGGGACCGGGAGCAAGGAGTCCTTGAAGATACGGGGGTATCGTGACTGGTTGAATGTGAGAATGTCGACATTGTGGCCCTCGTACTTCTTGATGATGGCTGCGGTATCCTCATCGGTGTTGAACGAGTTCATCAGGATGATTGGCACATTGGAGCCGTAAGTGCGGTTCAGGTGCTCAACCTGGCGCACCGACATGTCCAAGAAGGACATGCCATCACGGACCTCGATAACAGACTTGGGGCCGACGCAACCCATAGACGTTCCCAAGCCACCGTTCAGCTTCAAGACAGCGAGCTTGTTCAGGAAACCAACAGACTCTGTGTTCGCAAGGCTCTCGTAGTCCACAACCTGCCCCTCGGCAGGGGGCGCGATGCGATCCCAGGTGCTGCAGTAAAATGGATCAGCCATCGTTGCAGTGTGACCTGAAAGGGGTACCCTACACTTCATTTCCCTTTGCCTTGTCGTTCAGGTATCGGCGAAAGAGCGAGAAGAAGTTGTCCATCTCCGTCTCGAAGAGCTATCTGTTGTCAGACACTCGGGGTCTTTGCAATAGCGGCTGTCTGTTGCATACCTGCTTCTGCTTCCCCTCCTTCACACTTTCGGCGAGCTTTGTGAGCTCATTGCGCATCTGGGCCGCAGCAATGTTCGTCGAGGTGTTCTCGAATGCCTGTTGACAATGGTGTTAGCCAAGAGACTTTCCAGTTAACTGCAATTATAGCTGGGCAGCAGACGCAGATCATAGCTTGCAGAGCTGCGGAAGCTGGCGGCGTCGAAGCTAGAGGCTGGATCTGAACCATGACTGCGGTTCAAAAGGTACGTCGCGAAACTCGGCTGCAATGTCCTGTCCAATTGCTGAGAATCCAAAGCGTCACACTGCTGAGGACGCGAGTCCTCGATACATGTTGCAGGAATGGGGGCGAGGCTTTTGGCTAACAGAGGCGGCCTTTTTAAACTTGCCACATCTTTCAGAGAAAGCAGAAGTTTGAGGCTCCCTCGTCACAGCTTTTCACCATAGTCCGAAGTTGTGAGCCCGCTTGTGACGACCTGCAAATCACCGAGTTCCAGGTCACAATGCCCATCGCGCTTGCGATCGCAAGTCGGTGTGGATGCTGTGGCCGTACAAGACTGGGTGACTGACCGGCCATCGGACTATCTGCTTCATTGCAGAGGACGGCGAGGCCGATCGTCTGGCCATTCACATCCACCACCCCCGCAGCTTGAACTTGGGAGAAAAGGTGAACTCAAAAAATGAGGATCGATCCAACTCACCATGTGAGACCTTGTTTTCCCATGATGTCTCCTAGCGAACTCTCCATCATCGCCGTTGCCGGGCTTGAGATGCTGCGGCAGAGCACTCTTGATCGCGGACGCAGCCATTCTGACTGTTAGGGGTTGGTCGTTGTTCCTTGAAAGGGCTAGACGAAATTCCGAGCGACGAAGGGCAAATGGGAGGTGACTGTAGTCGGTTTAGAAGATTCGATGACGTTGGCGGGGAAGCTCAAAATCGGCGAAGGGAGCGTTGCTGTTTTCACAAGAGGGATTAGCCGATTGACGTAATTGGAATGGAAATTCCTGGAACGAACTCGGATCCGCCCGACTGGCAGACCGACCAAACAAGCTGCTAGGCAATTCACCGCTGTGGTGGGACCAGAGTTGTGGTGTGCAGCAATCACATGGGGAAGCTGCCCATGGTTGACGGTCAAGGCAGTGAGGGGCTGTTGTTTGGTTTGGAGGGGAAGCTTCCATCATCGAAAGCTAGAAGGAGCTTGGCAACTTACACTTTCTTGTTCCAATTCGCTGGAAGCAACAACAAGGTGCAAATGCCCGCGAGAGTCTAAGCAAGTGACGACAGGAGGATGGAGAAGTGAGCAATGGTTAGGATAAGGAATGGCCAGCACTGCGGACACCTTCTGGGGGGGTTTGATTGCTTTTATCGTCTGGCTCCGATGATTGCAACAGCTTCGGGCGGTGGAGAAATTGTTAGCAGCTCAGGTACCAAGGCCGTCGCTCCGATTGACCAGGATCAGGGCTGCACTGCACCTCTGAAGTGGCGTCAATGGAGACCAGGGTTGGAACACCGACCACCAGTGACGGTGCCTGGGCCCAGCGAGAGATGGAGATAACCACAACGAATGACGCGCTGCTCCTGCTGCCACGATGCACGTCTTTCCCGAAACTCACATTCATGATCCCATTGTCCGCACAGCAACGCTGTTCAGGAGATCCCAGTCAAAAAACAGGATGAAAACATTCCTCGAATGCTTCGCTGGTACGGCTCGCTTGAATGCACTCACAGCGAGAGAACCCGACGAGAACGATAACTTTACGGGTCCTAAGGGTTCAAGATCGACCATTTGTCGCTCTCTGCCTCACCTTGGCTTGCCATCATCATGCCCGACCGCCCCAACCTGATTCTACCGACATGAAGCCGCGTTGAGAATTCATTTATCAATTCTTTGCCTTCCTAAAACACCCCTTACCCTGTTCCCACCATCGAAACGTGAGTCTTACGAGGCCGAGTAGGCTTGTGTGCATCTGTGCACATTCCGCCCGAACAATCGCATAACACCTTTGTCTTGATGCGGCATCCACCTCGAAGCCGATGGATGACTGCCAGCCGGGCGGTACCTCCCCGTTGTACGAGGCCGATACCTATCTGCATAGCAACACGCGGGAGTGTAACACCAGAGGCATTCAGCTTGGTTTTCCAGTATGTTCGAACTACGCACCCGGCATTTGCAGAGGCGACGCGCTGAACTAGGCGCTCAGCCCAACGGGAACTAAAAGCAGATGTTCCACCATGATCTCGCCTTGATATTCATCAAGATCCACCGGCCGCGAGCGGGAAATTTGAACAGCCTCCCTCGGGAGTTGAGGTTCCAATAAAACCTTGCCAAATGAGCACGGTCATGGCCGGGTTGTCATGATGGTGAGCCGCATGGATAAGGCCCCTGTGCATCCATGATGCGAGCAACATCGGGTGTCGGGAAGCGGCAGCGATGGCAACCTGGGAGCGCAGCCAAGAACAACACCACATCCAACTTAGCGGGTACGAAGTGTCGTATTCTAAGAACTTGGAGGCAAAATTTCGCCATGAAAAATATCTCACCATGACTTTGGAAGCAAACAAGAGGCCTCACCTCGCCATCCTGTTGCTTTGCCGGCCCTTCTTCCGGCGACGTCCGCGGAGCCCCACCAACCTTGCACTCATCGCAACACCAGCGGGGACTCTCGCGTCTTTCAGGGCACACCCATTTCTAGATAAGAGAGGAGCTGAAAGGTGTCAGCTAGCAAACAGACGCCCCCAGCCACGCCCATTCGATTGCTGCGCGTTGGCACGGCATGGAATGGTCACATTTGTGGCATACAACTCCCAATATTGGCTGCCTTGGCGATGGTGATATGGGCAAACCGATGCACGTCTGACCGTCTGC